GCCCCTGTTGGGTCCCATACACCGCATTGCCGCTCACCTCCTGTAATTCCATGGGCACCGTCCCCGTGGATTTATCACCGGTACGACGACAGCAACAGCAACATATGATGACAATTAGTGCAATCAGAGCGAGAAGCGGCAGCAATACGAGAATAAGAATGATGTACCAGTTATCCTGCACCCACGGCACCACCTCCTTCGGCGGCAATGTCGTCGTCGTCGTTGTCGTAATGATTCTGTCTTGCACCTCACATACAACGCCAAATGCCTCATTAGGCGTATCAGGGTTATCGTCAGCATGCACTGCCCCATCGTACCACGTTGCATTGGACCCTTCCTTCGTCAGATCCAGGCGAGATATTAAGTAAATTTGACCGTGTGCAGGGTAACCTTCGCGCCAGTAAGACGTGTACCCGTTCAGTGGGCCTACGCCATCGAGGGAGTTCCTTGCACCTCTGAAAAACGGAACACCACGGTGTTTCACCTTCGTGTCCACAAACTCGCCCTGATTCCACTCAAAAATGCAGTTCAACAAATTGTATTTATTATCTACATCACACACCTTGTCAGAGTCCTTCTCCCAATAGTAGCTGTAGTAGGCGTCACCGCCCATGTACGTGAATACCTGCCTCTTGGCAGCGTCTCCCACCTTCCTCAAGTGATTCGTGATGGAGTCATGTGCAGCAGGTGTTTGATCCGCAGTAAGGAGGCCTCCATTTAATTCGCAGCCACTCGAAGACGAGCCGTAATTCGCCAAACCGAAATAGTTATGACGAAGCTCCGAATAGGGAAAGCTGAAATATTTCTTGATTTTAACGACCACGTGTCCCTCGTTTCCCGCCACGGTGAAGGAGGGGTGGCTGCCCAGGCACTGCAGCAGCAGCAGCAGCGCCATCCACCGGACGACAGTCCTCACCACGGAGCGCGCTCGCATTCCAACTTCGGCCGCCATCATCTACCCGCTGCGTGGAACGATGTGTGTGTGTGTGTGTCTACCGTCTGTCTTCGCGGGGTGGAGACAAAGTGAGGGAAAGAGAGGT